GAGAGAGAGAGAGAGAGAGAGAGAGAGAGAGAGAGAGAGAGAGAGAGAGAGAGAGACTTTGGAGTCCCCTCTACCATGTGGAACCATGCATTGCAAGAACAAGACATCAACAAAACCCCACCTCCTATTAATGCCCTCACATGTCCCTCTCTCTTTCTCTCATATACACTTTTGTGTATGCATACATGTGTGGAGGGATTTTGAAAAATCTATTTTATCATGGTATAATTACTAATAAGCAACAATATGAGAGGCATAGAGGATATACGTATATGTTAGTTTAGTTTATATGATTTAAACTTGGTGTACTAAAATAGGTAATTTTATTGTTATTAGTTAGTCTAGATCCATACACACACACACACACATATATATGCGTATCGTATATATGTACATAATGTATGCATGTGTATTTTCAATTTTTCTCTTTTGGACTTTTCCCATCATATGTCCCCCATAACCCTCGTCCAAAAATCTCTAATATTTCCTTTTGGTTATTTCTTAGCGCCTCTCTCTCTCTCTCTCTCTCTCTCTCTCTCTCTCTCTCTCTCTCTCTCTCTAACTCTTCTTCTTCTGATTTGGCTTTGCTATGATGATGAGTTGGTTCGCTTTTTTAAATCTATGCGTAAAAGGGTACGTAAAATATTAAAATAATCAATCAACGATATCAAAATTGTTCATAGACTTAACAATTTGTACGTGATGCCACATGTGAAATTAATAGTTATGTGGAATAGGTGGAAAACTAGCACACACTTATTGTAATTTTATTCGTTAAGTAGAGGAAAATACTTTATTATTAAGAGAACGAACTCCACATTTAATCATATTTCTATAACTAAATGTTTTTAAACCATGGTTTTTTTTTTGTTTTAAAAGTATATATCAAGTGTATAAAACACATATTGCTCCCCATCCCATTTCACATCAAACAGCTAGAACTGTCGACTCTTTCCCCTTTTTTTCCAACCATCTCTCACATGGCTCTCCCTCTTTTTCTCAATCTTTCTATAAATAATATACGAAATTGAAATCTTTTTTTAGAAAATGTTTTTCTCTTTTCACTTTTTAGTGACTGTTTTAACCCTTTTGGCTAATAAAAAATATATATATAATATCCCCTCTTAAAGTCAAGGGTAGTTGCTTCCATTCAATGCAGCAAGAAAAAAAATGCTTCTCTAATTTGTATTTTAATGTAATGCTTGATTTTGTCTATAATTTATTGATATCATGCATTATTAATCAAGTATATCACGTGCAAAACATGTGTATAATTAGGTTACTTTTTTCACTTGATCTATTCGTCTCATGCATGCATTTTCTAACAATTATTTTATATTCAAATGGCTCAGTGATTCCACGCATGAATTAAGACCCTAAATCTCAATAAACGAATATGTAATTATCTCATAATTATTTGTAAAATACCAACGTCTAAATGAAATTGATTTGATATAAAATACTCCGATGTGATGAAGTTAATATTATTGCTACTGCCAAAAACTTTGACCATCTCCTCAAGCAATGCATTTAAAAATGATCATGATTTAGATGCAATTTAATGTTTTTCTCTGGAAAATAAATTCAAAACATTAAATTCAACAAAACATAAACCGATTTTGTCCGATAGAATCATGAAATTCGTACAGCATTGTCGGAATAAATTGTACAAACCTGAAGAGTGGTTAAAATATTGTAAATATCATGTCATGATGTTGTTTTTTTTTTAATTATAAATTTCAATTATTATTGGAATTAAATTGAGGAAATTTTGGGACCCTTGATGTGAAAAAAGATACGGTTTGGATTTGAGAGAAGAGGATACACATCCCATGTCGGTTGTGACCAGAAATTTCCAAAAAAAAAAAAAATCTAACTCAACCCATGAAATAAAATAAAAAACAATGGAAACAATAATAGAAATAGGCAAGCAAACATATGAGAAAAAAAAAATAAAACCAAAAATATGAGAGAAAAAATGGTAAATGAAAAAAAAAAGAGCTCTGGTTTTGGTTTGAACAAGCCATGAAAATGTAGCTTCTCTGGGGGAGCAGAAGCAGCTAAAAATGCACTGATGCTGTCCCTTGAATCTCTCCTTGCTGCCACCAAAGATTGAAGAACAGAAAAGTAGAGGAAATTTTACGATCAAGACAGGGAAAACCGTATGTTTTTATGATTAGGGTTAATGATTAATGATAAAGAAACCGGCACGAAGAACAGATGAGGAGACAGCACGTACGTGGTTGAAGTTCTTGCCCTTAGCATCATCCATCTGCAACATCAATGTATGCAGGAAAAGCTTTAATGGCGAATGCCCCCGAGGTGAACCACTTGACCCTCCACTTTCTATTCTTATCATCCTTATTGTTAGCTTATCTACAAGTTGTGCAGCATTGACATAATAATGTATGTATTTTTTACATTATATATATATATATATAAGTAAAAAGAAAATTATATATATATATATAGAGACTAGAGAGAGAGAAAAAGAAGAAAATAGAAAATAGAAAATGACTGAGACCACGTAGTGAAACAGACCGTTCCTCGTATTTGGTTAGAATTACATCAACGACTCTCAACCTCCTTCACATCTCTTTCTTTTTCCTATTTATTTATCATCTCTCTCTCTCTCTCTCTCTCTCTCTCTCTCTTATTAATATTTGCATGATTTAATCTTTTGTATAGTTTTGGTTATTCTAAGGGATGGATGGATGGACGGTTTGAGCATTTGTTTATTCCATTTAAAACACTTGCTTTTTATAATATTTGGATGGTGCATGTTTTTTAGAAGAGAGTGAAATGAGTTGGTTTGGATCATATTACTCGAAGCCAATATAAAATATTATTTATAAATTCTAATGAATCCAATTTTATTTTATTCTGTATATTAAAACGAAAATAATTAATTCTAATTCAAACACCGATTATACGTTTGACATGAAAAAGGCCTACAAGTACGCAGGGCCCACTTTAATGTCTTAGCCCAACCCATATATTTACGGGCTTATCTTCAGACAGAAATTTTTATGAATTGACACGTGTACAGTCACTCCGAATCTCACCGGCGTTGCCGGTCTTAATCCCGACGCGACCAAGCTTCGTAATCGCCGACACAAAAGCTTGTCGGAAGGCTCCTTCATTGGAAGCGAAGAGATTCACGGTCGATCTCGACCGTCGATCTGTGAACAAGATCTGATCGGAAATAAACAGACCCATTCCTCGTTGAAGGTTCTTGAAGTAGGCGTTGTCGAAGGTCGTCGGTGTGGTCGGATCCATGTTAATGGCGATTCTCGGGTCGACTCGTACCGGACACATCTGCCTCAATTGCAAAGCGTACCGGAGATTCAATGTCGGGTCAATCCGGTTTCGTGGGCTGAAATCGTATATCCTCTTCGAGAATTTCCCGCAGTGCGAGAACCCGATCGTGTGTGCTCCTGGTGCAAGAACAAGAAGAACAGATGAATTTGGCGTTCGCGGGGTGGGAAAACCGAATCCGGCTAAGCACGGTTTGGAATCGTACCGGAGAGAGCGATCATATCGGTTTGGGATAAACCGTGTCGGGCGAACATGGAGTTGAGCCGGTCTAAGTTGAAGCCGGGTTGAGGGAGACTGTGTTGAACACTGGCCACTGTAGATAATGTCCCGTCTCTTCTCCCGAGCTCCACCGGATAGTTCGGTCCTCCGGTCTACGATTCAATATTTTCGTTTTTATAAAACCAGGGTGTTCATAGAAAATCTCATAAAAATACAAAAAAATGTTCTTTTAATTTGATAAATAAATATACTAGATATTAAAATAATATGTCAAAAAAATATGGAGATATTGTTTTCCACATAGAAAATTGTTCTAAATTTTAATAGTTAAAGTATTTTTGACACATTTTAATATTTGATATATTTATTTGGCGAGTTAAAATTTTACTTTTTTTTTTGCATTTTACAAATTGGTATATTTTTATATATTATTATCCATCTCAATTCATTTTCTTAGCACTCAATTGAAAACGATGGAAATTACAAACCATGAATTTCTGAACAATCCAAGAAGAAAACAACAACAACTAACACGTCACTCGTACGAGGAAAAAAAAAGCAACAAAACAAACATCAGAAGCATCAATCTTAATTCCCACTTCAAGAAAAGGATAACAACATGAAGAGAGAGAGAGAGAGAGAGAGAGAGAGAGAGGATACCAAGACGATGACTTCACGGGCGGCGAGAGCCAAAATGTCAGCACAAGAGACTTTGTTACGGCAGGAGGGGTCGGAGTCGACGGCGTGTTTGGCCTTAACCACGGTGTCAAAGCTGTCGCCGGCCAAAGACAACTGGTCAGGATGATCCCTCTCCGATGGCGACGCTATCATTATCGACGCATCACATCCCTATATATATTCCACATTCACAAGTTTCTTACGTTTTACCATTACTTTACCAATACATACATGCATTGTACAAAACCCTGTGTAGTGTATATCCACCTCTAAAAGTTATGCTTTGCAACTAGGGTCAAGTAAAACCATATGGAGTATGTAAACTAGTCGAAACTGACCGGTTCAGGGAAAGCTCAGAGGAATCGAACACACAACCTTGTGTAGAGAGAGTTTGTCATTTTCCAAGTGAATTGGGGATTTCCCCATATTCAATTTTTTAAAGATACCAGACTTGTTGGTTCGAATTTTTGGGTCAGTCTACGTATGCATATATTGTGGATACGTATAAGGGATTGCATTATACGTACACGGACGAAACAGTCGTGGAAGAAGAGGCGGAGGGTGGCGGGTGCGGTGACGAACGTCTGCTCGAATTTCCGGTGAACTGCGTTTCGGACGAGATTTTCAACGTTTGGACATGATTTCCGGTAGAAATCTGTCCTGAGCTGTTGACCAGAGACATATGAATAAAAAAGAAGGAGAAGAAGAGCAAAGATGAACAAGAAGCAGGCCTTCTCCATGGTTATATCTTTGATTAATCTTATTAGTAATATTGTTGTTTTTTGTGTTGAATGTATGTGATTTGAGAGGGTCTATATATAGACGAAGGTTGAAAGATAAGTGTATGTATATATGGATTAGTCTAAGATGGGCAAGGACAAATTGATAATAATGATCATTAGTATTATATTATATTATATTATATTATATTATATTATGTTAGAGGAACAATACAAAATGTTAGGAATGTGGGCGTTACACTACGTAATGTTTTCAGTCATACATTGAAAATTTGTTATTAGGTTTTGTGATGTATGGAATTACATATGCAGGTCTTTGAAAATTAAATGAAAATTTAACAATGATTAAAAATATATTATGATGCTTCTAGAAACTAAAAAAAAATCGTATACATTAAATAGGGTGAACATTAATTTAGTGATTAGAGAAGGGATTTATATCGTTAATGTCTTTTAGTCATGTAAGCGTTCTAAGAACGTGTTCTAGTGCGACCACAATACTTATGATACCCTGTTTGAACATGAAAAATACGTTTCATGTTATTATTTTAAATTATTTTGGATTATTAATGCATATATAACAAAGATAATTAGAGAAAAAGTGAATAAATGACAAACATATATATATATATATATATTCACTAGTAGTGCTTAATTATTAAATTTTTTTACCAATAATACTTTGCAGTGTTAGTGAGAGTTGCTTACCATTATAGGATATATTGACTCATATATATATATATGTATATGTATGTATATATATATATATATATATATATATATGTGTATATCTTTGCCAACTCAATGGCATGTTACCACTTCATACCATTTACTTAAACAAGAGGGGAAAGGATAAGAACTCTTATTAATTTGATATATCAAATTGCATTATGTGAAGCTCAGATTATCGAGGAAGTGCCATAGAGAGTTGAGTCCTCGTGTTTATTATTTCTACATTTTGTAATAATTATTATAAAAAAAACTTGATATTTACTAAAAATATATATATATATATATATATATATATATAATACATATTAATATTTCATGTGATGAGTTTTATGAATCTGGCTTTATTAATAATAAACAATTGTTTATCAGAATTGGATAGAATAGTCATGAAGAGAACGGAGACAAAACAATTAATGGAAAATATGATATTATTATTACAAATGGAACGAGTACGTAACACAGCCAATAAAATAAATGGATTTGTTTTTATTGTTCGTTTGTGATTATACTGCCATATAGATGGGGACAAAATTAAACGAGCTCGCTCTATTTTTGTATTCATCATGATCATCATCATGATCATGATCATCATCATCTTGTATTATTCTCATATGTTTTGGATAAATTTCGAATTTATATCTTAATCACGAATTACAGCATAATAAGTATTTTCAACCAACAAACGTTACAAGTAAAACTTAAGAATATTTACAACTAAAATAGGATGAAATCAAAACTCAATAAACATACCTATTTTTTTGTCTTTTTCTACTTTTTTTTTAAAAAAAATTCTTTGTAATTTATCATGTAATTTTATCGTGACACGTCAAAATCTGATGATGGATTTCCAATATATGTATAACGTTGATAACCAAAAAGTAAAAATCGATTAAAATTTTAAGAATTCATGTGTAAGTTATTGGGAAAAGATATTTCTATATTCATAAAAAGTTGAGGAGCTTATACAGAACTTTTACCCTACCTTCTCATGGGAGACTTCGGAACATTCATACACGAAACTTGATTAATTAAACTTCCGGTCCATTAGATTATAACTATAATTGAATTTTAAAGAAAAGAGAGAATAAATTTTAAAAAAATATACAAAACACAACACTTTAGTTTTTTTTTTTAATTATTATTATAGTTTGTACACACTCTTTGCTGTACACCAAAAAAAAAAACACCATCATCATTTTCCAAGCCAACAAAATTCCCTACTAAAACCAATTTCCTCATGTTGACAGCCCAAAAAAAAAAAAAAAAAAATCAAGGACTCAAAGATCAACCCTGTGACCAGAAATTTCCAAAAAAAAAAAAAATCTAACTCAACCCATGAAATAAAATAAAAAACAATGGAAACAATAATAGAAATAGGCAAGCAAACATATGAGAAAAAAAAAATAAAACCAAAAATATGAGAGAAAAAATGGTAAATGAAAAAAAAAAGAGCTCTGGTTTTGGTTTGAACAAGCCATGAAAATGTAGCTTCTCTGGGGGAGCAGAAGCAGCTAAAAATGCACTGATGCTGTCCCTTGAATCTCTCCTTGCTGCCACCAAAGATTGAAGAACAGAAAAGTAGAGGAAATTTTACGATCAAGACAGGGAAAACCGTATGTTTTTATGATTAGGGTTAATGATTAATGATAAAGAAACCGGCACGAAGAACAGATGAGGAGACAGCACGTACGTGGTTGAAGTTCTTGCCCTTAGCATCATCCATCTGCAACATCAATGTATGCAGGAAAAGCTTTAATGGCCGAATGAAGAAAAGTATTTGAAGAGGAGGATCTCATCAGAAGAGTTGAACAGCCATTTTGAACTTGTTCTGCTTCCATTTCGGTAGCTTGTAGAATGCTTCCTTTGTCATCCCGAATTTCTCCTTGAACTCCTCCGACGAAAGATAAGCCTGCAGATTCAGTTTCGGTACCACTTTTTTCAGGGAATGTTAAAAGGGTCATAACATGCCGGCCTATTTTCTTTCTCCGGGAACTATTCCGGCAAAACCCTTTTGTTTTACATACCTCTCTCCTCGTTACATCAATGTCTGAAACAGGATCAGTTGATGTTGTCTTGAGACGATCGTAAGGATATGTTGGAAGACCTTCATCTTCTTCAGCTTCGCCTTCTTTGGCATCTTCCTGAATTGAATTCATTGAATTCTCCTTCTCCTTCTCCTTTTCCTTTGAGTTGGATTCTGGTGCTGGTGATTCGGGTGTCTTCGGGCTCACTTCGCAGAAAAACAGCACAAAGTTCGAAACTTTAAGGGGAAGGGAGGCTAATTTCTAAGAAGATCGAAATAACCAGAAAAGAAAATGATTTTCTCGAACGAAGAACTGGAAATTATCGAGAAATATGAATCAGGGCAATGTGCCATGCTTCTTAGTTTTTAAAGAAGGACATACCTTTGAGTGATTTGGGAATTATAGGTTCTCGTGGAGGTGTTGCCGATTGTTCAAACAGTGCACTACGAGAAGAAATGGCGGAAGATTTGGGAGCCAAGATAGCAGAATCGGGAGTAACAGATCTCGGGTAGAGTTTTCTAACAACTGGGGGTGGTGTCGAGAGGTTTCTGGCATTAGGGTTCTCAAATGTAGCAGCCAATGCATTGAATGCCGGGGATCTTCCCCGAACACGAACTCTGTCTGGACTGAAAGACATGCTCCTAGAACGTTGTTGTGACTTGTCAGGAACACTGGTCCGACCACCATATGAAACAGGGGTTCTTCGTTTCGGTTTCTGATCATTAAACCAGAAAAATGGAAGGATGTACAAGGATTTAGCTAGAGTGTGTTTTCTATAAGTCCCAGATAAGATTATGACAGAAATCACAAAGGGAAATCAGAATCTCACATCTGCAACTGGAGTTCCACCATGTTTTACTATTGTGAGTTTCCTCTGGAACGAGTTTCCATGCATCTGCAATGAAAATGTGCAATCTTTGTCGGAGTTTCCTTTTAATCGAAAAAGAAATCTTGAAAAAATGATACATTTGCTAAAGGGATTTCTGGGTGAAAGCCGATCACTGTTACTGTACTTACAGTAGATTTTGATGAATCCCAAGAAGCGAAGGACCGGGTGAAGAAAGGCGGCTCACTACCTTCCATGACTATGAATATCGGTGCCTCTCGTGATAACTTCTCCAGGAGAAAATCTTTCTCGATAAATTTCTGTTGAAAGAAAAGGCAAAAAACGAACAGATATGCATCATAACGTGTCAGCAAACCACGAGAATCTTGGTCTCGATCAATGTTAACAGAAGGATGTAAGAAATCTGACCACTCCAATAGTTAAAGCCTGCAACTTAGTTTTAGTGTCCACTTCTTGACCAACCCAGACAAAGATCTCTGAGTGACAATCTAGGATAAAGATATCTTCAGTCATTAAATCATCCTGGGTGAAGTTATATATCTCAGTCACCTGCATTATATACAAACAAAATACTTCAAACAAGGGATTAGACAAAAACACCAAAGAATTTTCCAATTTAACTTTGAATAAACCGATAATTATACCTTCAGAATCCCTGGGTCAATTTGGATTTCAGCAAACAGGCACAATAGAAAAAGGCAAGAAGAAACACAAAATATTAGTCATGTGGAAACATATGAAGATGAGGAGGGTTTAAGTGTATGATATGATGAAAACAGTTGAAAAAAGTCTTTACCTTTTGAGAATGTACAAGAGAACAAGTGTGGGTCACTTTCAGGTTCTCTAGTGATCTTTTGGCTTCCATATTCTGATTTTCCTCCCAATAATTCCCAGAACTGTTCAGATTCTGAACCTTCCTTTTGTGCTCTGGTTTGTAGGTTTGGCTTTAAGATGTGTAAAAGGAAAAAAGCACACATTCTTCAGCTACATTTCTTACATATTTCCTGGTCTTGCAATAATCTTTTCAACGTATAATCAACTTCCGTGCTATACAGCTTGAGTCGGTTTGAACTGAATCAAGTTTCCGAAGAAGAATTGATCAAGAAAGTTAATCTCACCTTAATCAGGTCGAGTTGCCTTTCCATAAGTTCCTGGTCAACCGAGGAAGCAAGATTCCCGGACCAAGTAAAGACAGTTGAACCGTTATGCAGTATGTAACAGTATGAGGAGTTCAGTGATGAAGCAACCTGTAAGAAAAAACACATCAAGCGATAAATGAAAAAAAGAAGAAAAATAATCATCGTAGAACAAAAGTTCTTAACGCGTGTTATCAGATTATTACTTTACATTCGTATATTAACACGTGAAAAAGATTAATCAGTTTCATTTACTACAACCCAAAAACATAAAATTAAAACTTCAAGATTTTGTAACTATGACTTACAGGATCAACTTGTATTGCTTGCATATTCTCTGGACCAGACCCTTGAATACGAAATAGGGCAAGGCCATTCTCATTGTAAGTGTCATCGGGGATTTCTTTCTCTGTGACGTGTGTCTTGTATCCACTGCTAAGACCGCCCTGAAAATTCAACAGATTGATATGTTAGAATCAAACTACCAAAATATCGTATATAACACATGAGAACAAAGTAGAGTATGCAATATATTTCGTCCGAACCTTAAAGACGATAAAACTTTGCATTATCACAAAGAACTGGATGGGTTCCTTCCCTTCATAAATGCATGCCTATAGACAAGAAAATGAGAAGTTACAGGAATATACATAATAAGCAAACGGAAATATATATTTATTTTGAGGATTGTGCTAAATAGATGTTTAAGAAAATTACTTGGACAGGTGTGAATTTCATTGACTCGATCATTTTGCTCGCCATGGACACTGCAGAAGCTCTTTCTTCCTATCCATAACCACAAACACACAATTAAAAACAACTACTCGAAATGCAAAATGCATTCTTAAGCAAATACCGAAACCGGAAGAACGTATCACAAGGAAAGAAAACGGTATGACACCTACATTTCTTCTTCCTTTTACTATCAGTATTAAGTTAATAATATACAACAGAAAATTTTGAGGGTTTTACCTCCACACTCTGCTTCCCGAACCATGTACCGATAAGAACTTCTTCTTTCTCCTCTCCAGAATAAGAATACTGGAATATGTAGCAATCTCCACTGTAGAATTTTGTCTGATCAACACCTTTAAGGAGAATCTTCTCCTGTCCATTCACATGCCAAACCTGTCCAGACAAGTTTTTCCACATTCCTTTCAATCATAGACTCTAAGAAACTTCCTAAGCAATACACTGAAAATTTCAGCTCCTAGAGCTTCTTAACAATACACAATCTTAACCTAATCTAATTCTCCAAAGAGGGCATAAGCTCGGTAACTATGAGGGTACCTGCAGATTTCCAGTGCAATCAATGTGAGGCTGAGGCTCCTCTTTTGGAGGAGCAGCTTTCATTAGACCTCTCACATTCAGCCCTTGACGTTGCAAAAGAGCTGCAAAAATAAACAACTAAGCTTGCATGGAACTTTACAATAAGATAGAATTCACATATGTAAGAAACGTTTCGTTATTTTATTACAGACCAGCAACTCTGCCTCTACCATCTTCTGACACAGCTACATTTGTTTCTTGAGTCCAGGAATCGAACTTTGATCTGAATGGAACGGTTTCAAACCCTTCTATTGTGCGTATTATTTGCGATCTGGGTCTATCAGATGAACGAATCATTTCCTGCATGGAAAATAACATCAGTAACGTAAATGATAAAACCGAAAGATTGAACTTTTCTCCCGAGTATGACACTTACTTCTGCCACTCCACTTGCACTTTTCCTTTCATCAAGAGACGTGTTTCTTCCCATCCACACGAACACTTCGCGCCCACAGTCAAGAATGTAGCACTTATTCGTCTCTAGCGTCGCTCGTTTCAATGATTCACCCTCAACTGGATTTGCCTGACCCTTCTCGACACTTTTAAATCCGAAAAAAGGGTTCAGTTTGGAAGAGAATTAAACAAAATCCATTCATCAGTCTATCTCTAGACACCAAATTGAATAAGAATATGGGTAAATTTGTTCCTTTTTTCAGAATGAAAGGGTAATATTTTCATATTGTGTGTATAACTGAGTGCAGAAATGAAATAATAAGAGGAGATGTTACCAAAACAATTTCGCACTATCAGAATCATATGTCTTCTCCTCTTCGCTAGCCGTTTTTCTAGGAAGTGGAGCGAACCCACCAAAGAAACCCCAAAATTCTCCACTTTCAGCATCAGCCATAAGCTTGCCATCCTCTGCATGAAATACACACGATTAGACTGACTAAAAGAATATAAATATCCAATCGCTAATCCTTCAGTCTGCTGCTAGCTACTAACCAACAGCTGCAACTTCACATTTGCCATCATGATAAGTATCTTTGATGTACTGAACAACCTCCAGTGCCTTTGCCCTCTCCTGAATACTTGAATTTGATCCATTGAATTGGAAAATCTTGGACTTTGTGTCAAGAATGAAAATGTCGTCATGGTTCAAAGATGTACGAGCAAATGGAACCTGACATAAAAGGCAGGATGAAAAACCAAGCTCAGTAGACTCTTGAAGTTAAACCCACCCAAGAAATCAAAGTAAGTAAAGTAATGAACTTGCCTCATTGACATGGACAACATGTTTTCCTCTGCAAACGAACAAACGGATCTTATGTTCTTCAGCTTCAACGTGTTTAAATCCTGATGCAACTCCACCCTCTTGAGGTATGATACATGGTTTAAAGTAGGAAAGGAATTTCTCGGTTTCATGGCCTTGAACTTCCCTGTACTGAACTGCACGACCTCCAAGAGCAGCATCTAATTCAACTGTCTTAACAGCTGCTGTCCCGGCTTCATCCTATCATTAGAAAGTTTACCATACCTCAAAAATCCATTTCAAATTTCCACTCTTCCTTCTTACCATACCAAAAAATAAAACAAGGGCTAACCTGAGAGGTGTCTTTACCGAGCCAGTAGTGAATGTCATGACGAAGGGCACCGTTTTTTAGGGCTGTTGTCTGACCACACAAGATCATCAGAGTCTAATGTCAACAGCCAAATCATCACCACACATCTGAATAGCTAAGAAGATTTATCCACCACACATCTGAATAGCTAAGAAGATTTATCCACCAAAACCGATTGCAGAAACTAATGTAGAATGGTACGTGGCTTGAAAATGGTTAACAGGCTTACCTTCAATACTATATACGAATCCCCGGTGAAAAACTTGCCATGAGAAGTCTTTGGAACAGAGACAGGGCGAAAGTTCTCAATACGCCATACCTCAATCCCACTAAATCATTGTCAAGGAGAATACCGTTTGATACAATCGATGAAAGTATGATTCCCTGAAGCATATGCTATTTGATAAACATGATAATCTAAACAGCTGTAGTTTGATTTGAAATATCTTGTGAAATATCCTACCTTCTTTCAACAATGTTATAGAACTAAATTGGAATTAAAATTTTGTTTAGAACCAGTAAATGAAGGATACGCTTTCTGTCCAGCTCCTTGGAAAGCTGGGTCTAAATCTCTCATGGAGACAGCCATACTAGCAGTAGCTCTTATCTCTTTTCACCTCGCGAGACGTTACAATTGTTGAGAATACAATCCTAGGAGACAGAAGTGATGTAAATTAGTATTCAGGATGATAAAAAAAAACACATTGCCAGCATCAAAAGCTAAAGGATGTTGAAGAACATATTCAGACAGAAACACTAGAGGCTCGATCAAACACGCATCAGAAATGGAAATGTCCTTGTAAGAGACAAAACTCCCTTATTCCAAAAGAGCTAATATCAATCTACTCTTCGGCTAACCAACATTGGAATTGGTCGTTTCTAGACAGAACAGAAAGCCCTTATCAGATTGAACAGACTTAGTGAGATCTCAAAACCTACAAAAGGGACTCAACCAACATGGCATGGAGCACGAAGTAAGATGAAAAGCAAGAGGAAACACTGCACGAAAAGTCGACAAGAACTGTTCAAAAGATTACTGACATAATGTTAAACATCTAAGAATTTGCAGAGCGTAGGTGTAGCTCACGATCTCATAATCTCAATTCAGGTTCAGGGGAAACGAATTCCAGCGCACGAAATTTGTAATCAACAACACCATGAGCAAAGGGTTATGGAAAGAAAGCCTCCAGAGATTATAAAAACATGGAAATATCATTTGGGCAAACATTTTCAGACAAGGGTTTATCCATTTACAGCTCCCCAGATATAGGACTCCGACACAACCAAGCCTAACCGAGAAACACGGAAAAAAGACCAAGATTATATCACCAAAACCAAGGAGAAGCTCGAGGATTGATCATTGATGCTACAAAAAGTCAATACCAGTAATTAAACTCAAGTCATAGCAGATCAACAGGTAAAGACAAATTCCAGAAACCGTATTATCCCAATCAGATCAATCGAAATCTAAAAAATAAGGAAATTGAAGATAAAATCCACAAAACCCATAACTGCGATTTTCACATAAAGAAGAAACCAATTCAACAAAGGATCGAACTTTTCGCTCTCTACCTGATCGAAACCGATGTCCAGCTCAAGCCCAGATCCAATCTAACGGTGAAAATTACAAATTTACAATACTTTAGTCAAAGTATTCTGGGAGAAGCGAAGATGAACAGAGGCAGAGGAAAAAGTGATGGAAAGAGAACAAAAGCAGGGTTTAAAGGGGAAAACACAACACAGGAAGAAGAAATTGAAGCTTTATTTAGAGAGAGAAGCTGAGAAACAATGACTTCCTAGAGAGAGAGAAAAGGCAAAGAATCATAGGAGAGAGAAAGGTTGGAGTGAATGATGTGAAGCCAGGCGTGCCTATCACTAACCCGCAAGAACACATGAACTGTAAATTCTTTATTAAAAATATAAAATAACAAAGAAATTGGCTGCAATTATATGAAAGTAAAAAGGGCTAACGATTCAGTGAAAAATACTGTCTTTCATCCGGAAAAAAATCTAAACTTTTTTTTCCGTCTCACTTGTTCATTATGTCGTTACCAATTCTGGGTTCTGACAATGAACCAAAAAATTTTGAATTTTACCGCAAGAAAAAAAAATATTTAACTACAGCAAATTTATGATACATACGTTGAGATTAACAACAACAAAAAAACTGAACTTTTTATTCCGATAAAAATTTTTTAAAAAAAAAATGATAACTTTGTCGTCTCTTCTTTAGAACTACAAACAATAAACGCTCAAATCAGGAATTAAATCAAGAATTATCTAATTCCCCTAAATTTCAAGAGGTAAGAAATGTTTCTTTCCAGAAAAAGTCAAACCCTTGTTTTAAGTTTTACTGTTTATGCCTAATTAAAAGCCATTTTAAGGAATTGAAATTAGTGTTTTAAAGGGAAAATTAGTCAATACTATTAGCTGGACTGGAAATACATTACAAAAATATCTGCTTGAAAAGCTTATATTTTTAAATTCAGAGGTTTTGAAAAAAAATGGAAAGAGAGAAACTTTATATGAATAAGAAAAAAAAATAAAATAAAAGGCATTACCTTTAACTTTAAGGCTGTGCATTCTCTCTCCCCGTTAACAAACAATTCTAAGGTTCTATTCTCATTATTAATTAGAAATCATTAGAGAATAAACACTCAATAAATTAAATAGTTTTGGTGGGCAATTAAATTAAAACGACTATTCTTATAATAATTATAATAAACACCTTTCCAAAAAAAATATATAAATCTTCATCTCTGAGAGAGAGAGAGAGATGAATCTATTTGGTAAAGGAAGAAAAAGGAGGAACATATTAAAATTCATAAATTTCTTGTTGACCCAATTCATAATTTTGGTGGAGAATGAGTTTTATCAAATTCAGTGTCGTATTTAGATTTAAAAAAAAAGGCTTCCCAATATCTTGTAAACCCTTCTCTTAGTAATCCACAATTGAAAATCATAGATCTAGACATACTATATAATCTATGTGGAAATCACTTGAAATATCAATAGTTATTTTAATTTTACGAAAACGAAATTTCTGATTTTTTTTTTTGGAGAATTTGAAAAATAGAGGTGGGTTTTTTTTGGTCCTTATATTATAACCAAGGGAATATTCTTTATTCTCTTCACTACTATGTTTTTTTCCAAAACAAAATGAAATTACTTATGTTGTTTTGAGTTTCTTGATATAAATGCTGAACATATCAAAATAGTTTTTGAATTCAAATGAGTAAATAATTCTAAACCGACCATATTTTAACTCGAGAAAAAAAAAAATTAGATAACGTGTTTAGCAAGTGGTAAATAAATATGAAAATGTAATGATATTTTAGAAATATATATCGCGACAAACGACAAAAATTCAAATATGAATCTAATTTCGCATACATTATATTTTATATATAAATTTGATCCAAAATATCGGGATATCTGAATTTTTAAATGAATTTCTTCCGGTCTAACACAAACATACACGAAATCATCTATTAAACAATCATCTAACATGCATCATTATACGATAACAATTAATATTAATATAATAAAAGAAACATAATATTTTATATTATTTTTTGCCAGGGTTTCCGTTCATAATTATGGGGCGGAAAGAACATATTCTCTCTCTCTTTTATATATAAATTCATAATATTATATGGTTCCATCTTGTTTATCGTGGGGCTGCTAATACAATATCTGTATTTGTTCGATAGTCTTTATATCTTTTACATCATATTGAAGCCAAGTTATTATATTTAATTATCACAACAATTTTTGTTGACTGCAATATCTACATATATAAAACTTCCTTTTTTTCCTGTTCAAATTATTAGGGTTTATTTCCAGAAATATGAATTGTAAGGTGGAAGACATAATGGAGATTAGTCAACGAAACTTAGATTGTCAAAATAAGAATGATAAATGAAATAAAAAGGACCGACCAAATTTATATTTCTAAGTACATATGCTTTCGGCGCCAATCTGGTTCGACCCAATGACATTGACCTGGGTTTGTTCATGCACACAGGTTATATATATACGCCGGAATAATGATGACCGATTCCTCCACCGCCGTCAAAACCGGCGGCCGGGGCGCCGCCGTAGAGCGGCGGGGGGACCGTGGGCCCCTTT